TGTGCGCGCGCGCTGACTCCACGTGGTATGCGCGTGCACACACGGGTCACGTCAACCGCGTTGGCCGCGCGCGTTCGAATGCGAGTTCGGACGCACGCCGCGGGCTCGACTCCGACGGGGAACTCTCCCACGCGCGCCGACGCGTCCGCGACATGAGCAGAGGCCTCCAGCTATTTAGATTTTAGTCCGAGTCGACCTAAAGCGCGGCCAAAGCCGTGCAGTGGGCGTGGGGGGTTTTTGTGTCGTGGAGATGCGGCCCTTCCCGAGTTCGATTCCCGTTCACCGGCCCACAGACACACGGTGCCGATTATAATGTGATGCAGTTCCGGGCCTTCCCTAGGTAGACTCAGCCTCAAATGGGTACCTGACGCGATATGTAAACATCACCACTGATAGGGAGACAAAGGCGGCCGGGAGCGGTGCTGGCCCTCCACCCCCCACCCCCCTCGTGTGCCGTGCCGGCCTTAATAGGTGCTCGCTAACAGCACTTGCCCCTATCAGTCTGTAAAGACTATACGGGGGATCTTCACACAATCTTTGTCTTTTGTATTGTGGGAAGCGGCCGTGCAGTGGTTAGCGCACATCGCCACGCACCCAGTGACCCGAGTTCGATTCCAGCCCACCGGCCCAAAACACCAGTGCCGATTATATGACGCGGTCCCGGGCCTCGTCTAGATCGACTCAGCCTCAAATGAGTACCTGGCGCGATGTGTAAACATCGCCACTTAGGGGGGGGGGACAAAGGCGGCCGGGCGTGGGACTTGAAACCCAAACGCATCGTGTGCCGTACCCGCCTTTAATTGGCACTCGCTAACAGCACTTGCACCAACAGAATAAAGACGCTGACAAATATCGAGAGATGTGTGTATTTGTATTTATATTCATTCGCATGTCCACGTCTGCGCCTGACGAGGAGCGCGGGGAACGGCCCAGGGACTAATGGAGACTCTGCGACGCCCGCGGTTTGGTGACCCGCGGTGTCGGTTCGGCTCGAGTCTGGCTCGCTTGGACGAACGCTCGTGAACCAGCGACCAACCGTGCTGCTAAAGGAGCCTTCCCCCATTCCGCCGTTGGAGTCCCAATGATAAGCGGAAATGTATTTATTAAATAAATATATATCTCGTAATAATCACGAGCGCCGTTTGTGGTGAATGTAAATAACAAACGCGTGGCTTTTTGTGGACGCTTCGGCATTTTGTTGAAGGCTTCGTCGGGGGATCTTGTTATGGGGAGCGGTAGTGTAGGGCAGTGGCTCTTCTTATTCTTAATCTGGGGTACGTGACGTAGCCAGATCTATTTTTTTATAGAAGTTAAATAATCTAAAACACAAATGAGGCACGTCCCGTAAGTACAGCTTACTTCACCGAAGCCACGTGTGTATCGACACCATGCATGTTCGTGTCGATTGTGTCACTACTGAGAACAAACGGGCTGCAAGGCCACAGTCCATGTCAAGGAGCGAGCCGACTCGCGCTCCGAGATTTCTTCTCTCTCTCTCAAATTCCCGCTTGCAGCCAACATCCAGGCGGCGGTCACGTCAATCACTGCGATGACGCTTGGGTCTCAAGACAGGGCCTCGCCTAGGTCGACTCAGCCTTAACTTCACTTCCACGGAGGAGAGGCGGCAAAGCCTTCCCCGCGGGCGTGGTGGGGAGTTGACCAGCCCACCAACCCCGGCGCGTATCGATTGCGCTGCTCGCTCACGGACACTTGCCCCAACAGTCTGTTGAGACGACACGGGGGGGGGGTCTTCGTCTCTGGCGTTGCAGAGGATACAGGCTCCCCAACGTTCGTCTCCGGGCTACCCCGAGAGACCATCACGACATCACGAGACGGAGAGAGACACAGAGAGAGAGACACAGAGAGAGACACAGAGAGAGACGCAGAGAGAGACACAGAGAGAGACACACAGAGAGAGACACAGAGAGAGACACAGAGAGAGAGACGCAGAGACACAGAGAGAGAGACGCAGAGAGAGACACAGAGAGAGACACAAAGAGAGACACACAGAGACAGAGAGAGATGTTTACTCCTGAAGGCTGTCTTAAACACCCAAAGCCACGCGCCCAGGCCTACGGCACAATATCTCTCTCTCGCTCTCCTTTTCCGGACATGCGATGTGAAATGTGCAGTTAATTACACATATTTGGGAGGGAGGGGGGGTTCTAATAATATTTTAAAAGAACGCGTTCATAACTTGCTTTTAGACATCGTATTTATCGTGTTTGTTTTTGCTTGACCGTGTATAGACCGTTGACGTATTGGTGAACATCCAAATTCTAATCTTGACCTAAAGCTTTCGCGACGGCAGGAATTCATATGCTTTGGGTCTTTCGGTAAAGTCACGTAGATAGGTTCAAATAAAATAAAATAGCAAAAAACTCAACCTATCTACGTGCCTTCACCGAAAAACCCAAATAATATCCAAATTATATATATATATACTCTACAAGCTACAATGCAATCTTAACGTTTTTTTATACAGGATATGTGTACCTAATCACAAAGACAAAGGTCCCGCTCCCGCCTATAGCCTGAACAGAATGTTGGGGCAAGTGGTCCTCGCGAGGAGTAGCACCTATGGAGGTCTTCACAGGACCCGAGGGAGGTGGGTGGCCAGCACCACGCCCGGTCGCCTTTGTCTCCCCCAGTGGCGATACACCACACCAGGTACTCATTTGAGGCCGAGTCGACCCAGAGGAGGCCCAGAACCGGTTCAGATGCTCGCCACCGTTGTTGGCCGTGAGTAGGAATCGAACTTGGGCTGCCGGGTTCGTAACGCAGTGCATGGACCGATGTGGGTGTGTGGGGAGCGGTGGGGGAGCGATTAGCGCACTGCGCTAAGAACCCGGCCACCCGAGTTCGATTCCCGTTCACGGCCAACAACAGTGACGATTATATGAACCGGTCCTGGGCCTCCCCTAGGTTGACTCAGCCTCAAACGAGTACCCGATGCGATGTGTAAACATCGCCAATAGGGAGACCAAGGTAGCCGGGCGTGGTGTTGGCTACCCACGCCATCGTGTGCCGTGCCGACATTCATAGGATGCTCGCGAACAGGACTTGCCATGGTATACCCACACTACTCACGCAATGTATACAACACTAGTCACTGTTTAAATCGTTCGTCATGTATTAACTTCTGCACTTGGTGTTATGGGTTACAGTGCTAATGCGTTTTCTGTTTGTTCAAATATACACCATATTGTTAAGAATGCTAACATTATAACTCAAACAATGCGAGTGATAAACTACATAACGAGTGGAAACATTGCGCAATAGAGCGCCTCGAATTACTTGGAAAGCGATGTTATTACAGCGGAAACGCCTCTATACAATATCCAGCTGAAGAAAAATTGTGAATCTCTTTTTTTTATACGTATTAAAAATTGCCAAATAGTAATTTTGTTTCGGAGTTCATCAAATCTCGTGGACAGCAGTGACCTTAAATGAATGAGCACGCAAATTAGGGCCTCACCTGTACGCGACTCTTACACAAAATGGTCTTTAACGTTCACTCGGAAGCATAATCGTGCACTTTGGTCATTCGGCTGAGCCAAGTTTGTAGGAAAGTGTAATTTTCACACGTATATATATATACAAATACAAACATCCCCCTGTATAGCCTTGGACAGACTGTTGGGGCAAGTGTCGTTGGCGAGCCCCAGGTAACTCATTGTTGTCTGAGTTGACCTAGGGGCGGCCCAGTACCGCTGCTTGTATTCTCCACTGTTATTGGTCGTGAGCGGGAATTGGAATTTAACTCGGGTCGCCGGGTTCGTACAGTAGTGCGCTAACCACTACACTACTGCTCCCCCCCCCCCCCCCCCCCACGTTTATTCGAACCCACACTCACTTATGCTGCCTCTATAATACGAACAGGTCCGGGATGTGTGTTGTGGGATTTTTTTAACTAAAGTGTTTTATGAATTCAGTGTGGAGGAGGATTATTTGCGTAATATTGTTAGTGAGATTTTGACTTAAAATTGCATAATTGCAACAATAACAGAATACTAGTTTATGGATATATCGTGAAAATATTTACGGGGCTAAATTGGAGTTAATCATTCGTTGTTAATGAAGCGTATTCTGTAAACGCGCTATATATATATGCACACACAAACGCTTTACGAGACACAACGTAGACATTGCAAATTAAATATACACACACACATATTTGACTTGGACGAAGCATCGTTATGAATTCGAGTTTAATTTGTCAATCATTGAGACGTGAATGCTGTACGCATCGAGTATTCGACGTAGGATTATTAGGCGTAATAAAGGTTTCTAAGATTTAACAACAATAAACACACCCACGAGTGAATTCATCCGGAGGTCAATGTTACTTATCCTGTTGTAGACAAGTTTAACTCAAAGCTCCGTGATTCGGAGAATAACTCGCTCGCTCTCTCTCTCACTAAATGCGGCTTGGTCAGCTCAATTAATTGTCCACACGTTCATGATGCAAATTCGGCTTTGGGCGATCCTAATTAAGACTCGCCGCCTCGGCCTCGTCTTAGCGTCTACAATTAGTCGCCGGCCTGCCACAAAACATCGCTCTCGTCTCTGATGTCACGTTCGCCCGTCACCACGCCTCGTGGTTATCAATTTATTTGCATGTTATTTTTGCTAAACAAAAAACTAATAATTGGCAGCATCACGGAGTGTTGCGACAGCCCCCGCCGCTACTAAAAACGCCCCGCAGCAAACGTCAAAGTAACTAAAATTGTAATAGTTTCAAAAGCGAATACGTGTTTATACGAATCGAGCGGGGTTATAGGAAACTTGCAGGTAAGAGGGCAAAAGAAAACCCCCATAGACTCCATGCAGATGCAATGGGGGACTACTCAGCGTGCACGCGTGGTGATGGTGGTGGTGGATGAGTGGCGGGGGGGGCGAGCTCCCTACTACCCTGAACCATCACACTGCCCCCCCCTCCACCCCACACCCCCCCCCCACCCACAAGCCCCCACACCCCCCCTCCCCAAGTCCCCCACCCACCACCCACCCACGGTTACCTGCGTGCTGCGGGGACCACAACGCGCCGGGCTGAGGTGCCCACGCCTGATGGGGGTCCTGAGCAGCGTGCAGGAACGCGGCGTCGGCCCTGCCGGACACGTCCAGGTAGGGCGACACGGGCTGGTGCTGGTGCTGCTGGTGGTGGTGGTACGCGCCCGCGTACCCCTGGTGGTACTGGTGGTAGAAGCCGTAATCTTTCGCCCAGAACACGTCGTCCGCGGCGGACGACGAACCGACCCCTCCCGCCGCCACGGGCGACTCTGCGGCCCTGCCGTGCACGGGGTTGGACGCGTGGAGCGGCGCGTGCGGGTGGCCTGGCCGCAGGAGTTGGCCTCCACCACCACCACCACCTCCACCCCCTCCACCGTGGTGGTGGTGGCTTGCACCTCCGTGGCCGCAGCCCAGAGCCTTGTCCGGCTCCGGGGAGCAGCAGCCGCCGCCGTGGTCGTGGTCGTTGTGTTGTTGTTGGTGTTGTTGGTGTTGGTGGTGTTGGTGGTGTCCCGCCGAGGAGCGTTCCGAGAAGGAGCCCGGAGGCTGCGCTTGCTGCGCGGCCGCCGCCGCCGCCGCTGCGGCCGCGGCGGCCGCGATGGAGTAGGAGAGGGGCGAGTGGCTCACCCAGTTGCGGTATTGGCCGCTGCCCGGGAACGACGCGGTGCCGAGCGCCTCCATGTTTCTGCGCCTCCGTGTGCCGCGCGGTGTTTATTTGAGCGCGGGATCTGTACATGTGAACCCGGGGGGGGAGGAGGGGGGGGGGGCAGGAGCGAGGGGGGAGGGGTGGATGGGGGGCACGTGGGGATGTGTGTGTCTGTGGAGGGGGGGGGGGGCTACGCGGTGAAGGTCATGGTTATGTGGCGAGCTGGACGGGCTTGGCTGGCTGGCTGTGCGAGTTTGGCTCTGCCGGACGCTGGCTGGCTGAGACGATGAGGAAGAGAGCAGCAGCAGCATCAGCAGCAGCAGCAAAAGAGAGAGGCAGGCGTTGGGGGGTGTGGGGTGGTGCGGGGGGTGGTGGTTGCAGTGTCGGAATGTGCCAATAAAGCGGCCTGACATTGACATTGACGGACGCTTTATTGGTCTCGCGCCTGCATTGGCCGGGCCGCCGTCACGTGGCGGATGAACGGCGGAGAGGATTTTTTGGTCTTCGTCGTGGTGAGAGACGAGGGGGGGCGGGGTGAGAGAGAGGGGGGGGGTGAGAGAGGGGGGGGGGGTGAGAGACGAGAGGGGGGGTGAGAGGGGGGGGTGAGAGAGGGGGGGTGAGAGGGGGGGTGAGAGAGAGAGAGGGGGTGAGAGACGAGAGGGAGGGGGGGAGAGAGAGAGGGGGGTGAGAGACGAGAGAGAGGGAGTGGGGTGAGACAAGAGAGAGGGGGGGGGGGGCTAGAGAGATGGAGGGGGCGAGAGAGAGACGAGAGAAAGGGGGGCTAGAGAGATGGAGAGGGGGGCGAGAGATAGTGAGGGAGAGGAAATCGGAGCGATGTTGTGTTTGGTATGCAATGCATGATACAACCTCCCCCACTTTCCTACTCCATCCCGAAAGGCCGAGTGCAATTCAAGCTCGCGTCACGTGTGTGTTTGCGTGTAAGTGTTTGTGTGTGCTGCTTGTTGTTGTTGTTGTACAATCGCATCCTGATTATTGCGAGCGCGTGGATTTGTTGGAGGCCACCGTCGTCACGCCAGGGTCGAGTGGTCATCATCGAAGGTGCATCGTGTTATTTTCCTTGGGGGTGCTACTTTATAATACACACATATTGACCTTTTTGTTTGCTTTCTAATGCAGTATTTGTCAAAGCACCATGTGTAAAAGTTATACTTTCCAATGAAAGCAATTCGTGTTATCTGCGTAGCTATATTTATCTGGCCATCTGTGAAAAGAGAGCTTCATAGCTCATCGGATTCCTCCAGTATTCAGAAATATTTTGATAAATATATACAAATACATCTGAGGTGGCATTTCCGCCGAACACATCTGCAGGTCAATGCAGTAGTCAGCATCTCCGTGGCGCGCCCAGTATTTCCTTGTTTTTTTTTACGTTTAACTTTTTTCGCACCCTACGTAGTCAACCCGCGCTCATCACGAAATCATCACGGGGCCGGTGGGTGCCCCTCACAGTCTGAGCGGTCATTCTTCAGCATGGTCACGCGTGGTGCGTGACACCTTGGTGGTGAATTATGATGTCTGAATACGTTTACATTTTGTTTAATGTTTGTGAGCAATTTCATCATAGCACAAAGTGTGGCCAGTGATTGTGAATTGACGCCGTAAAATACAAGTCCTAAACAAACAACCATGAGGACATGTGCAACAACAAAACACGCACACGCACACACACGCGACCTCTGTGTGCGATCTTTCCACAGTTCCATTTGTTGTTGTTGTTGTTATGGAACTTCGTGGTTTGCCAGCGTGAATGATTGTTCTCAAATGATGATGACGAGTGTGTGTTGTTGGTCTCTCGTGAACTGACAGATTTGATTTCGACTTCTGAGGTTGCTTATCTTGTACACAAAATAAGATGCCCCGTATAGCCTGTAACAGACTGTTGGGGCAAGTGCTGTTAGCGAGCACCTATGAAGGCCGGCACGACACACGAAGGGGTGGGTAGCCCACACCACGCCCGGCCGCCTTTGTCTCCCTAGTGGCAATGCTCACACATCATACCAGGTACTCATTTGAAGCAAAGTCGACCTAGGGGAGGCCCATGACCGGTTCAGAAAATCGTCACTGGGTGTTGGCCGTGAGCGGGAATCAAACCCGGGTCGACGGTTTCGTAGCGCAGTGCGCTAACCGCTACACTACCGCACGCACACACACAGACACACACACAGACACACGCACGCGCACTTCCTCTGAGTGCGAAATCATTATAGGCATGGCCTTGTGAGTTGTGATGGAAATTATTTTCCACATTTTTGTTTTATTACCTCCATGCATCGTGATCACGAGAGGCGAGCAGCGAATTCTCGGTGGAAGATGACTTTCATCCGGAAGTGGATTGAACTAATGGCTGCTGATGATGATGCTGATGGTGATGATACGTATTCATTCGAAGGAACGGATTCCGTGGCGGCTTCTACGCGTATGGTGTTCACAGTAAATAATGTTGATTTTAAGCTTTCGTGACTGCAGGAATCCATACTCTGTGGTTCTTTCGGTAAAGTGGCGTAGTAAAGTCCCGTCGATCTCCTGCCCTCAGCAGTTCTCCTGCTGTGTTTGTCTCACCTGATGACGGTTGCTTGAGTTGCGATCGAAACGTCGTGATCTAATTACCAATTATCTGACGAGACATATAGAGGCGGGTTTTTGTGTGACTTTTCCATGCATGAAAATGATGGAACCACTGCGTCACGTGGCTCCATAATTTACTCCAGTTAAGAGAATTCACAATGAATTCAGTGCATCCTCGTTTTTCAATATCCTGTGTGCATCGCAGTCTTGTTCCATACGATAGAGCTTTGTGTTATAGAGTAAAAATGCCAATGCAACTATGGGCATGAAATACCTAAGTGTATGCATATTTGTACGATAAATGTATGGATTCCATTTGATAAATGTTTTAAACGGACATTAGTCAGTGGTCCATGCCTGGAAAAAAAAACACAATTCAAATATATATGATGTACTTGATAAATATTCCGTGAGGTGTCGGGCCTGAGAAATGCGCATAACTCGTGGATGTTACGATTGTTTAGAGCCGGAGCAAAAACGAGTACAGTAAATAATGTGTTTGTGCAAACAGCCCGACTTCAAAACAAACCTTGTCACCAACACGAGAACGGCCTTGTGGAATCGGCGTCATCTGCATCTTCCTTTCGATCATCGTAATACGCAACTTGTGCCAGAGTCAGATGTACGCGCCCAAATATTAATAGTGCGGCCTCACATTCGAGGTGAAGTATGGTCAAACCGCCCCCCCCCCCTCACTTGAACTCAAAGCGCAGGCGATGCCTTCTTATCCCAGCATTGGATTTACAAAGGGCCGTCTACGTCTATATTTTTCTTTAAATATTTGTCAAATTATTACAGTGCACAGTTTGCCGTATCTGTTATTAAAATATACTGTATATATTTCTTGGCGAGCTGGAATCAACGCGATTGTTGAGCAACGCAAAACCTTCATTTTATATTACGTGCACGACATTATTTTACACATCGTGCACATTGGAAGGGCCATTTCCTCGAAACGTCGCCTATGAATATATTTACTCTTGAGGGCAGTGTTTGACAGATGTGTTCGGTTTGTGCTATTTGCCCGCATGATGCGCCACTACCGACGTAGAATCACGACTGTTCGTATAAACTCAATAAGTGTTCACGTTTACTACTTGAACGAACCCGTTGACCCGAGTTCGATTCCCTGCTCTGGGCCTCCCCTAGGTTGACTCAGCCTCAAATGAGTACCTGGTGCGGTGTGTAGTAAACATCGCCACTGGGGAAACAAAGGCGGCCGGGTGTGGTCCTGGCCAACCCACCCCCCTTTCGTGTGCCGTGCCGGTCTTCATAGGTGCTCGCTAACAGCACTTGCCCCAACAGTCTGTTAAGGCTATGAAGGGGGATCTTCGTCTTTGTTCGTGCTTTCTCGCACTAACACACAAACACAAAGCTGCCCCCTATAGTTCGTACAGACTGTTGGGGAAAGTGCCGTTAGCGAGCACCTATGAAGGCCGAAACTGCGCGCGAGGTGGTGGGTGTCCAGCGCCACGCCGCACCGCCTTTGTCTCCCTAGTGGCGATGTCTACTACACACCGCACCAGGTACTCATTTGAGGCTGAGTACGCATGATGTACGCACGCACACACAGACGCACGGGCACACGCACAGCTTGAAACGACATCAGAACACACAACAGAGTCCCCAAGACAGCGACACAACGGCCGTGCAAACACGTGTGATATATACATCAATGTGTGTGTGTATGAACATATACTCAATGCATATAAAATATACACAACACGCAACATCACGCGCAAGAGTTAGGCTATCACCGAAGCTACGAGCGTTGAACAATTGTGCGATTTGTGTTCGTGAAAGGACACAAATGAAATCGTCGCCGCGTGATGCGTGCGTGCACGCCGTATTAGCAGCGTGGCCCTGGCGCCTGCCGACTCGCTCCACGTAAACCACCTCCACCGCTTTAGCCAAGGGCTCTTCTTGGCACTGCTGTGGCCGATTATCCTATAGGCATGCGACAGCTTCAGTGCCGGATTATCCCGGCAGCAAAAGTAGCGGCTACAAAAGTAGGAGCTACGGGCCCCGCACTTTTAAGGGCCCCGCGCTAAATGCTTTCAAGCTATCAATTCCGCTTCAGTGATTCTACACTTGCTCTATTACTATAGTACTGTACCGCCTTCGAGTTTTACGAACGACTGGGTGTGTAAGGTTCGCGATTTGTCGTATTATCTGGCTGTGTAGAAAATGAAAAAATACAATGACTTTACTATGCAAGTAAAACAATTGTGTGTTTTAATATTTACGTGTTTTTTTATTTTATTTAGGGCCCCTTAATAACATATGCTAAGGCCCCGCACTAGCTTAATCCGCCACTGGACAGCATATGTATGTATATATACACACACACATACAGCAATGTGTATGTAGCGATCATGTCGGGCCGTCCCCTGGGGTAATCCAAATCGTGTGTCGTCGTGTGACAGACCGCGTGCGTCGTGGGCGATGT